AAAAAAAAAAAAAAAAGAAAAAAAAAAAGAAAAAGAAAAAACGTAAAAAATTATTATTTTTTTAGGCGAAGCATGGATTACTTCGAATACTCGGTCGCCCACGCAAAGGGTCGATTTATAAAACGAGAATGATGCGTCATCGTTGATGCGTCTCGCGCATCAGGATGCAGACTCGATGAAGGATTTAACGAATCGCTGACGAGGCTAACCGTTTCGATATATATTCGTTCGGTGTATCTTCCTAATCTATTTGTCGTGAAAAATTGTCGAGAAGAAACAAATACGGCCGCGTAGAGAATAATAGCGATGTAAAACGATCCTAATAGTCGTCGTAAAACAATGGCCTGTTGGATAATTGTAAGGCGTTGGTGAACGTGGGTAAACCCGAGCAAACGTTTTACAAACTTTTTACAACCCTCTCTCTCTCTCTCTCTCTCTCTTTCTCTCTTGACTGAATAGAAAATAAACACAGGAAACGATTGCATTGATCTTTTATAATTAACTACGATAAATAATTCCTTGGCGATACACCGTGACAACGATGCAATCTTTAAAGGTCATCAACTAACCTGAACTTACTCAAACTTTTAGATCAAAAATGTCGTTACATCCATTTTTTTTTTTTTTTTTTTACCTTTACACTTTTGGCCACTTTTCACGTCAAATTTATCTTTCAGTAAGTTTTTCATCGCTTTCATTGTTAAGGACAAGAACGAAAATTTCCTAGGAGAAATATTCGCGCGAACGTCCAACGAGTGATTGAACGAAGGCCGAAAAAAAAAAAAAGCCATTTGCAACAAAGCTGGAATTAATCATCGCGCGACATCACCTTTGCCGTTTCGACCGGATTCCTCAAAAGCAACGGAAGCGTGGGATTCATAGCCGGGTCCATTCATCAAACCGCGAGAACTCCCCTTCTATCGAAATAAATGGAAACTGGGCTACGAACTACGTAACACCGACTAACGAACGAACGAACGAACAAACGAGTCGCGTTTTTGCCACGAATCTTCCTTCACACTTTCACGCCCAGCACCCTCTCCTCGCGCACCATCCTCGCGGTCTCGTTGCATTTGATTCTCTAATTCTAATTTCCTCGCGAGAGGGAGCGCGGCCCACGTCGAGAGAACTCTAAGTAAAGTCTTGATATTCCCCGAGAAATACTACAGCTACCTCTGCCAGAGATATAAACGATACTCGCCACAATTTCGATTTGCATCCAATCGATGCTTCGTCCATCGAACGTACATCTCTCTCTCTCTCTCTGTTTCTCTCTCTCTTCCTCTCCTCTTATAGACATCGACAAAAATCCTCGACTCCTTCTCCACTCTCGATCTCGATCTCGATCTCGACGTACACGAGGAGTGGGGAAGGAGGGAGAAAAAAAATGAGAGAACGATAACGAGAACGACGAAGGAAACGCGCGAAGGAACGGATGCGTGCATTCGCAAGAGCAAACGACGAGAGAGAGAGAGAGAGAGAGTGGCTGGACGTGGGCACAAGTGCGTGAGCATCGAAAGGGCGTCGCGGTGAGGGTGCCGTTGAACGAGGAGCGCAAGCGCTACGGGAACAGAGGTTTGGGGCCACGCGGCGGCACCAGTCGCTCCTCTCAAACCGCGAAACACGTCCCGGCGTCCTCGAGGACGAGTATCNCCGCACACATCTCTCTTTCTCTCTCTCTCTCTCTCTCCCTGTCCCTCTCTTGTTCCTCTGTCTCGTCGTCGTCTCTTTTTTTTTTCAATTTTTTTTTATCATCCCCAATACAAGGTCGCGAGTTTTACTTACACATCGTGCGTGAGTGAAGGTGCAGGGTGGTGAAAAAAAAGAAAAAAAAAGAAAAGAAAAAAGTTTACAAGTGCTCGTCCATCAATCCTGGACCTGGACACCGGAAGTCTCTCATCGGTTGTACGACACGATGCTTGTGCAACGCTCGTACTACGGGTCCAAACCACGCCGATCGAAGGATCGCGACGAAGAGAGAGAGGACGATCCGGATCTCGTCTTCTCGTTCGTCGATGAGATTTAATAAAATAAGAAAAAAAAGAAAAAAAAAAAAAAAAAAAAAAAGAAAAAGAAACGTTTCTGTCGAGTACACGCGCGCAAAGACGACGGCCTCGAGCGGGTGTACCAAGGAACGGCGTGCACCGGATAATTAACACGCGTCTTCCAAGTGCCGTAATAATACCTACTTACTCTTGTTATCGTTTGTTGTTCTATTGTGCGTCGGAATCCAGTGTGTTCCTTCATGAGATGAGATAAAAATGTCGATCGAACGGCACGGATGTCTTTTGTTTTCTGGTGAAACGCGATAGTTGGAGAAGTGGCGGGGTGCAGCCGATCCTTTGATCGAGGAAAGAGGTTTGCAGGAGGTTCCTCCAACGAATGGAGCAGCGACCTTCGGCTCGATCGACCATCGAATCGGCCGACCTTTCGTTACGAGGCCACTGCGAAGTGTTAGTGTTCCCCCGTTAATTGCAAGCAATTCGATCGTTATCGAGATCGCACGTTCCATATCCCTCCTCTCTTTCTCTCTTAAGATCGAAGGGTACGGTCGAGACGTGAATTCGGTTGATCGCATCGAAACCGATCAGCGTTTCTTTCATCGCACGCGCGTTCAAGTTCGCGAGTTCAAGAGAACCTCCTCCTCGTTTCGTTAAATTAGTAATCGACAAGCGGCGTCCGTTTGATCGTTAGATTAATTTATCGGTTATTGTACGACAGTGTGAGTTATAAATTAGAGTTTAAATCGCGAGATCGATAGGTTTCTCGTCGAATTTTTAACGAGGGAGCATCCTTCCTCGAGACACGCGTTCGCATTCGATCTATCCTCGATCGAGGCTCGATTAATTAAAAGTTTCGAAACGAAAAGCGGAGGATTCGCCCGGACGTGAAACCAATAAACGAGATCCAAGATTTTTCTTCTTTTTATACCGAAGAGGTAAACGATAACAGATCGCGCAGGATACGAGTTCTCGGTGAGAAACGATTTCTCTCCAATCGTCAAATTGATGCATTAACACGCGTTTCGAAGAACGGGAAGAATTGTTATTTCGTTGCGAAACGATCGTCGAGTCGGCTTTCTCAAGCTCGAAAAGGGTAAATATTGCCGCCATCCTTCCCCTATTTGCCAAGAGAAATTCCTCCCCCTCCCTCTTTCTCTCTGTCTCTTGGAGCTCTGCGTCAATTATCTTTGGAAAATTGGCGGCGTGGAACGACGCGTACGTAAAACGTTGCACGCGCCCGACCGAACCCACCGAATCTGACACGCGCGCGTACCCAAATTTCCCAAGCCGAACCTCGTCGACGAATAATCCGGACGTTTCCTTCCGTCCCTCTACTTTCCCTCCATTCTTCCAGACGATTACATCCGCGCTCTCTTATTTTCTCATCCATCCTTCCTTCCTCCCTCCCTTCCTTCCTTCCTTTCTTCCTTCGTTATTCGTCCATTGTTCGTCGATCAAGGTTCGATGAAAGGTTTCCAGCGTAATATTCGTCGTTGTTCAAGGGAGGACAAACGTTGTTCGAGGGTAACAACGTGAGAGACGTTCAACGATTCGGGGAACGAGAAATCGTCGAAAATAGAAGGAGAACAACGAGAAGGAAGAAGAAGAAGAAGAGGAAGAAACACGGTCTCGAGAGGAAGAAGATGGTCCACTGGATCGATCCTCTGGAGAGAAGATATCTCTTTGTTCGGAACAGTGTCCCGAAGGAATAATTCTTCGCGTTTAATCGGTGTATCGAAGCAGAAACAGCATCTCCCTGATTCAGCTCCCGCCGTTTCACCCCCTCGTTACTCCTCCCGGTGAATGATCGAGAAGCGAGGGTAGGAGAGGGTAGGATCCGGGAGGTAGATGTCGGTTTTCACGTGTTAATTAAGGATCGTCCATTCGCTTGGGGGATGACTGCAGTGTTAGCGTTTTCTCTCTGTGCAAAGTAAACATTGTGGCAAATTGAACGTATCCAGAGAGCTATACACATATATATATATATATACACATATATATATATATACATATATATATATATATACACATATATATATATATACATATATATATATATATATATATATGTACGGAGGACGGTCGATTAGCCATTGACCGAATTATTTTCGGCCAAGAATTGTGAGTCGTCCTTAATTGGACCCTGCGGAACGATAAATTCGAGCGGCGGAAGAAAACGGAAGAGAGGAGCGAAGAGGCTGGACGCGTTACGGTGACGTCAAAGGTAAAAGAATGTTTCGTATCATCACCTTCGCTCTCCTTCTTTC